TTATGAAGATTAAGGTACTAAAATGGTAAAGCCAAGATTTTAAAGTTTTTAGTATAAAAACTAAGTCAGTTGATCTGAAGAACAGTGCTTGTAAAGAGTAAAAGCACATAATTAGTAAAGGAGACTAGGACTTAGGTGAGCTTTGGTTTTAAAATATAGCAACTGACTTAATTCATTGTCTTTTTTCATGGCTGTCCATAGCTTTGATAGGTTTTTAGTGTGCTTCTTCAGGGCTGATACATAAGTACACTGGCAGCATTTTTATACATTGGTACAGTGTATGTTTTTACAAGGTTTTATACCAATGTATTCATGTTATTGTTTGAAAAAACTTTTCTTAGCAGTTGTCAGATCCTTTATGGAAATATATAGATGGCCCCAAATGGCCTGTTCCCATTCTTATAAAGCATACCAACTTGTGAAGAAGACCAACATTAACATTCACACAAATAAATGTTACATTGCAATTCTGATACAGAATAAGGAATATACAGAAGTTAATAGGGTAATTTGACTTGCTCATGGAAGCTTTCTCAAGAGGAGTGAAATATGGATAAGTACTTTGTGCTAGAGAGGGAGGGAAGACAAGAGATGAAGAGCATGCCCCAAAGAAAATGTTCATTAGTGGCGAGTCAAGAGGAAGTTGAACATAAGAAGGGCCTAGCCAGGCACTGGTGGCTCAAGCCTATAATCCTAGCTACTCAAGAGGCTGAGGTCTTAGGATCTTGGTTCAAAGTCAGCCTGGGCAGGAAAGTCTGTAAGACTCTCATCTCCAATTAAACATCAGAAAACCGCAAGTGGCACTGTGGCTCAAGTGATAAGAGTGCTAGGCTTAAGTTGTAGAGCTGAGAGACAGCGCCAAGGCCCAGGGTTCAAGTGCCACGACCACCAAAAAAAGAGAGCCTATTGTAGAAGGCTGTGTAGTGAGGCAGACCATACAAGCTGTAACTCATCCTTTTAAAGATGTGTCTTAATACAAAAGTGAACTTTTAAGAAAGGAGTGTGCTGGACCAATTAAAAGGCATATACATCAATCTTCCAGGATTTTCTTGGAAAGATTTGCATTGAAGATTGGTGCATATGCCTTTCAATTTGCTTGAAAGAAGGGCAGTTTCTGGGCTGGATTATGGGCTTGGATAAGCAGGTGCATAGTGCTGTTATCATGAGAACTATTCTAGCATGTAAAAGGTAAGTTGATCATGGGTTCAGTTTGTAGCTTCCAAATATCATAAATCTAAAATAAGCAATTAGAAATATAGGTCTATGGCTGGAGAAGTCTGGATTAATGACAGCAATTTTTGTTACATATTTCATATGTAACACATATTTCAAAGTAGATAGCATCTCAAAGTCAAGCATAGAAGAGCATGTTGTCTAAAAATGTATATAATAAAAGACAAAAATTTGTTAGAGAAGTGTTTCAGAATGAAAATGGTAATATATGACAAATGACTGGTTGAGCCAGTTTGTTTCGATATACAGTAGGCATATGGAAATTCAGGCTTTCAGCATTAGTCCTAATCTCATATAATCTATTTGTCAAGTACCGAAAATGTTAACAAAAAAATTTTAATGGCTGGTTACTGCCTATATTATCTGAATTACTTTGAAGTTTTATTTTTCAAACCAATTGTAAAGTCAGTCCTGATCATTCACATTTTATTAATGTTTGCATTTAATTTTATCTTACAAATGCTGTGTTTGAGTAGAAATGGTACATATATATATATATATATATATATATATATATAAGTCTAGACTTTGGCTTTTTTTTTCAGTCTAACATTGTACTCTTCCTTGCTCCCTACAAATAAAACTTTACAGTGCACTTATGCAAGTCAAAAAGATTTCCTATTCAAATTGACTATAATCAATTTTCATTTTTATATCCCTAGTGTGTAATATGTGCCATGCAGTATAATTAATCATTCTGAATTGTTAAAGTATTAGAAAAGTTGAAATATGATTTCAATATTGCATTTTTTCTTGTTTTCTTAGGATGGCTGGCTGTGGTGAAATTGATCATTCAATGAACATGCTTCCTACAAACAGGAAAGCAAATGAGTCCTGTTCTAATAGCGCACCTTCTCTACCTGTTCCTGAATGTGCCATTTGTCTGCAAACGTGTGTTCACCCCGTCAGTTTGCCCTGTAAGCATGTTTTCTGCTATCTGTGTGTAAAAGGAGCTTCATGGCTTGGTAAGAGATGTGCCCTTTGTCGACAAGAAATTCCAGAAGATTTCCTTGACAAGCCAACTTTGTTATCACCAGAAGAACTCAAGGCAGCAAGTAGAGGAAATGGTGAATATGCATGGTATTATGAAGGAAGAAATGGGTGGTGGCAGTATGATGAGCGTACTAGTAGAGAGCTGGAAGATGCTTTCTCCAAGGGTAAAAAGAACACTGAGATGTTAATTGCTGGGTTTCTATATGTTGCTGATCTTGAAAATATGGTTCAATATAGGAGAAATGAACATGGACGTCGCAGGAAGATTAAGAGAGATATAATAGATATACCAAAGAAAGGTGTAGCTGGACTTAGACTGGATTGTGACACTAATACTGTAAACCTAGCAAGAGAGAGTTCTGCAGATGGAGCGGACAGCATATCAGCACAGAGTGGAGCTTCTGCTCAGCCTCCGGTGTCATCTTCTGTAAGGCCCTTAACATCAATAGATGGTCAGTTAACCAGTCCTGCAACACCCTCCCCTGATGCAGGCACTACTCTGGAAGACTCTTTTGCTCATTTACAACTCAGTGGAGACAGCATAGCTGAAAGGAGTCACAGAGGGGAAGGAGAAGAAGATCATGAATCACCATCTTCAGGCAGGGTACCAGACACTTCTAACGAAGAAACTGAATCTGATGCCAGTAGTGAGAGTGAAGATGTTTCTGCAGTTGTTGCACAGCACTCTTTGACCCAACAGAGACTTTTGGTTTCTAATACAAACCAGACAGTAGCTGATCGGTCAGATCGATCTGGAGCTGATCGGTCAGTAGCAGGGGGAGGAACAGTGAGTGTGAGTGTCAGATCTAGAAGGCCTGACGGACAGTGCACAGTAACTGAAGTTTAAATAAACATCTTCAGTTTCACACTCAAGGCTGAAATGGTGATCTGTAAATTTCTGCCCACATAACATTATACTCATCCCTAATAGTGCATTTTGGGAGTTGGGGTGGGAAGGGATATGGGAAGGATAGACCGGAAATTAAAATGTCTTAACATGTCTCTGTTGAGAAATTTATTTAATGTAAGAAATTTGGGTATTAATAGTTGAGAGCTGTTTAGTAGTAACCCAGTTTTCTTGACATGTTTACTTTAAATTTTTTAAAAGATTTCCTTAGTTCTTTTGGACAGTGTGTGTTTTATCTGTGCATTAATGGTCCACATCTGACTCTTGCACTGTTTTATTTTTTTGCATGGGTTAACATAAAATCATTACTAAAATTTTGCACCCGTAAGATGTTTGATGTCATTATACACAGGAAGCTTAATTTAATGTGGAAGTGGATGTGAATTTGGAACTTCAAAATAGATAAATAACAACTATTTTATAGTAAAGTATTGAAATGGAAATGTAAACAGCTAGTAACTTATGTTTCAGCATCTTTGTAACACACTTCATGATGTTCCTTCCCATAGGCTTTGCTGTCTAGTCCTTGTACTTTGAGGTTTCTCTTGGTCTGAATTTTTCTTTTTGATTAAAAAGTTTATAATTTAATAAATACTAGAGTTTATCAAAAATAATTTGTCTCTGGTTTGAGTCTGGAAAAGGGATGGAAATACTTCAGTGATTGTGGCCAAAGGTCACTATAAAGGTAATGGCTGGAATTGATTATATTCTACTTAATCACCGATTCAAAAGTTTAATTTCTTCATAGAAAACAGTTAAATAGAATTATGTGTGGAGTAAACAGTTATGGAAGTAAACTCATTTCTAAAACAGCTAACACCATATTTTATATTCCTCCTCAATCTTCATTAGAAGTATTATGGTCTAGATGGGCAGATTTACTTATAAACATCATTCATAGATAGGAATTTCACATGTAGATCAGAAAATCCACTTTTATTGGATATTTTTGTCTTGGCAAAGGATAAAATACTGGGTAAACATGGTAATTAGATTATCAGTAAGATAATCTGATAAAAAGCTGTCACTACTGTTAGTACTCTGAAACTCACTGCTTTGAAATCTTTTACCTCTTGTTTTGATAGTTTAGACTCATGTCTGACGTATATTTTTTTTGTTTTTTTTTGTCAGTTGTGGGGCTTGAACTCAGGGCCTGGGTGCTGTCCCTGAGCCTCTTTGTGCTCAAGGCTACTGCTCTACCACTTGAACCACAGCTCCACTTTAGTTTTTGAGTGGTTAATTGGGGACTTTTCTGCCCAGGCTGGCTTTGAACTGTAATCCTCAGATCTCAGCCTCCTGAGTAGCTAGGATTACACTTAAACCATAGCTCCACTTTTGGTTTTTGAGTGGTTAATTGGAGATAACAGTCTTACAGGGACTTTTCTGCCCAGGCCAGCTTTGAACCATGATCCTCACATCTCAGCATCATGAGTAGCTAGGTTTAAGCATGCCATCAGCACCAGCTTTACCTACACATTAAGTGAGTTACTTAGATGATCAATTAGTTTGAGTTGTATCAGGTTTTTTGTTGTTGTTTGGTTTTTGCTGGTCCTGGAGCTTGAACTCAGGGCCTGAGCACTGCCCCTGAGCCTCTCTGTGCTTAAGGCTAGAGCTCTACCACTTGAGCCACAGCACCACTTCCAGCTTTTCCCATTTATTTGGTGCTGAGGAATCGAACCCAGGGCCTCATGCATGCGAAGCAAGCACTCCATCATTGAGCCACATTCCCAGTGCTGAGTTGTATCAGTTTTGATAAATTTACTACCCAAGGATAGCTTGTTACAAAAGTTAGGTAGTCTTCAAATATTGATGAAAAATGAAGATTTTGTTGTAGGATGCCTCAACCTGGAGAGCTTCAATTTTAAAACTATATCAAAAGTACTATATATTATCATATTGGAAATTCTAGTTAACATGAATGACCAGTTTGTACAGGAGACTGTGTTCCATGACATGGCTACCATTCTTTAGCAGATTATTTAATAGAAAACAGGAAAGATCAAATAACAAGACTAATTTTGTAAAAGGGAGTGAAGGACCAAGTTTACTCAAGCTGCTTCAAGCAGAAGAAAATTATTAATCATAACATTTCTTATTTTCCTGTTCTATTCACTCTCCATTTTTATTCTTTGACCAAAAGTTTAATTATTACTTTTGTAAATAATTTCCAGGTAAGAAACAAACGTTTTATGAAAAACAACCCCCAAATAAGTATAGGAAAAACATCTTTTCACAGTGATCTAAGAGCTATTATAGGAATATAGAAATTGACAGAAATAATTTTAAGCAAAAAGTGTTGTATGTCTTAGTCAAAAACTGGTAAGAATCTAAGACCAATAAATTCAGATAATCAAAAAATTATGAACAACTGAGAGCACTAGACTTGAAAATAATTCTGCTGTTCATATTAAGTAATTTTAACCTTCATGCATATTAACCATTGGAGCTTTACTTGTAGTACATCCATGTTTTTAAGAGCTATTTATTAAATTTTCCTTTCCTAGCAATAGCCTCTAAATTTGCAGGTCCACCCCACACTGTTCCTAAGAGATCCCTCTCATTCTGTAATGCCTCTTCTAAATATAGTTCTTTGCCTGAACAAACAGACTTTTTCATAGCTCTAATGACTTCTGGTGGCCCATTGATAAACTGCATTAGCCACTCTTGTGCCTCTTCTAGAGATTTAGTTTCATCTGAAGATTGCAAGATCTCTTCAACCATTCCTATATTTAAAGCTTTTTTGGAATCCAGTTTGAGAGCTCCACTTAACACTTTGAGAGCTTGTCTACTACCAATGATTTCGACCAGCCGGGAGGCACCACCCCAACTTGGAATTATACCCATCTCCTTGTGGACAAATCTGATCTCACTCTCTGCAGTCATTAACCTGAAAAAGCAAAATGGAAAATGTTACTGTCACTGTGATATATTTAATATCAAATTAAATAGTGATATATTTCATATCATGATCTGGTATGAATCTCCATTGATCTCAGAGACAAAGTATGAAAGACAATGTTAGAGAAATGTCCATCTAGGGACTGGGAATGTGGCTTAGTGGTAGAGAGTGCTTGCCTAGCAGGCAGGAAGCCCTGGGTTCGATTCCTCAGTACCACATAAACAGAAAAGGCCGGAAGTGGCTCTGTGGTTCAAGTAGTAGAGTGTTAGCCTTGAGCAAAAAAAAGCTCGAGCAGTGACCAGACCCTGAGTTCAAGCCCCAGGGCTGACAGAAAAGAAAAAAAAAAAGTCCATCTAGAATTTAATTAGTACTTAAAATTTGACTTTGTAAAAAACATTAGCAGCCAGGTGCTGGTGGCTCATGCCTGTAATCCTAACTACTCAGGAGGCTGAGATTAAGGATTGTGGTTCAAAGCCAAGTGTGGTGAAAGAAAGTATGTGAGACTCTTACCTCCAATAAACTACCAGAAAACCAGAAGTGGCACTGTGGCTCAAGTGGTAGAGCACTCACCTTGAGCTAAAGCGCTCAGGGACAGTGCCCAGGCCTAGAGGTCAAGTCCCACGACCGACAGCAAAAAACAAAAAAAAATTGTATTGTGCTTACTTATTTTCTGCAAACATGTTTTCTTCTAAAAGCCCAAATGTTATTTTTGTAAAAGGAATAGTTAACTACATGTAGAAACCTGGATCAGTACCGGGTATAGCAATGCTGTATACTGTTCAAGAAAACTGCATAGTAAGTTTCCCTCTTACTCCTCAAGATATGCAGGAGAGAAAACTGTAAGCCCAATATCCATTTAGCAAATATTAAGCACTGCCGATATGTTCTTGGTGCTGACTCTAAAGGGATGAGCAAAGTAAAATTTCTTGGGCTTTGGAAAGAAGGGACACTGAGCCGTGTAAGGTGATACCTATCATTAAAAAATAGATGGAGAAAGGAATTCATGAAATTATGTGTGTTGAGGATGTGCTATTTTAATTAGAGAAGACCTCTGAATACTTGAGCAGCTACCTAGCAACCAAAGCAAAACCATGAAAAGCAGTCCAAGAAGAAGGAATTCCAAGTGTAAAAGCCTTGAATCAGAACTGCTTACTACCTGGAGACCAAGCCAAAACAGGAGAAACAAGCAAAAAGTAATGGGGAGGCAGAGAAAATCAGAGACACAGACTTAGAGACCTTACTATGGAAAATTCAGATTTTATTCTTTAAAGTATGAAGTTATTTAGACAAAATCCACAAAAGGATTTATTAACTAAACCATATAATATTACCGTAATTCTAAATTTTACACGTGAGAAAACAGGTAACAAATACTTCAATCAAAACCATATGGCTGTGGCAGAGCCAGGACAAACTCGGGCACTTTTGGCTTCAATGTGTGTACGTTTTTGTGTGTGTATGTGCCAGTCCTGGGGTTTGAACTCAGGGCTAATACACTGCCCCTGAGTTCATTTTGTTCAAGGGTAGTGATCTTGAGCCCATAGCTCCACTTCTGGCTTGTGTGTGTGTGTGTGGGGGGGGGGGGGGGGGGGGTTAATTGGAGGTAAGAGTCTCATGGACTTTTCTGCCCAGGCTGTCTTTGAATCATGATTCTCAGATCTCATCCTGGCTCTTGTAGAGGAGTTTTAATGCCCACTTGCCTATACTTTAGAGCTCTTTAAACATATATTTAAATATTTGTATTACTAAAAACTTAAACTATATAATCCATAAATGCCTGATTTTGTGGTAAAATGGAAAAAAAAAACCTTCCACAGAGAATTTCCTATTTAGGGCCACCTCACCCTAAAGCCATTCACGGCTTCCTCATAGAACAAAAGGTAGTATCATTCTAATGCAATATGCAGTAACGACAGCAGAGGGCACTATAGACTGTTCAATTAGGAATTACTAGTTTTCAGAGGATAGGATCTCTAAATTGTCTCATATAGAAAATCTAAATTAATATCTCTAAATGAGTACAAAGTGACAAGTCATAAATTATACAAATATTCCAAATGTTGCTATTTTACATAAATTATGTCCACTGAACCTCTCATGCTGTTTTTATTGTACTATTATGCTTTTAATATAAAGATATTTTTCCAAATATGTATTTGTTACAGGTATCTATCTACTTCATAAAAGTGAAGAAAAACAAAAAAGAATGATAAAATTTACAGCATGGTTAATCCTAGTAGAAAGGAGGAGCTATGACTGAGAGGGGAAAGTAAGGGATTCCAAAAGTTATTATTACATAAGTTTTTAATTTTTTTGTAACTCATGAAACTATGTTTTATATATACAGAACAAAAATATCAGAAAGACTTCTCAGAATAATATTAGTAGGCAGGAGTTTAAGAGAGAAGATAGTGACCAAACACTGTATTATGTAAAATACTTTAAAAACAGGCTCTAAACAAAGGCTCTATAGAAGACACTTTGTGAAGTTTCCTAATGTTTAATTCTTAGTTTTCATTTTAGTTTCATAAAAACTAGAAGGCCAATATAGAAGTATGAAGTAGATACATTATAAATCCAACTATTTTAGAACTTCTCAAACTATTCAAATAAGAATAAAATGTACCAAAATACTAGAAAATATTGGTTAAGTATGTATATTCATGAGTTAACAGTAAAATAGTAATCATTCTAAACTTAGTGTCTACTTTAATGACTAACAAAAATATTCATTAACTGATTATCCTGTTTAAGAATATATAAAATATTGATGTTAAGGCAACAAAATGATCTCAGCATAGACTACTAATATTTATGTGAGAAAGAATACAATTTTTACCTTACCTGAAATCACAAGCTGTAGTAAATTCTGCTCCTCCACCCAGTGCCCGACCTTGGACTAGTGCAACACTTATTAAAGGTAGTCTATATATTAAAAGAAAAGTGGATGTGAATATTTCTAATTTCAATATTAATTTACAGATGTTTTTTCTGAATCTTGAAATTCACTCGAAACAAAATTGCTGCCATGTGTTTATAACAAATTCACCTTTAAAGGATAGTAGAACTTTAAGTTTGTGCACAAAGAAAAAACAAGTATGATACTGAAAATACAATATTCATATTAAATGTCATGTAAGTTTATCAAAATATTTCCCTGAATTATTATAGGCTTTTTAAAACTAAACCACATATTAATTTCTTTCCAAATGTTGATTCTACTGTATAATTTATAACTGCTTGAACTTTTCAAGATGACAACTAGGAATCATTCAATTATGTTTTCTTGGTCCACTTTTTATTTATATCAGGTGAAGGGTGAGAATATTAAGGTTGTTTCCAAAGAGAGAAAATGTGGTCCAGAACATAGAGTTCCAAAACTGTATTGAAGATTCCTAAGCTAGACGCCGGTTGTTCATGCTTATAATCCTAACTATTCAGGAGGCTGAGATCTGAGGATGATAGTTCAAACCCAGCCCTGGCAGGAAAGTCCATGAGACTCTTATCTCAAATTAATCACCAGAAAACTGGAAGTGGAGCTGTGGCTCAAGAGGTAGAGTGCTTGCCTTGAGCTGAAGAGCTCAGGGACAGTGCCCAATTCAAGCCCCATGACCAACAACAACCAAAAAAAGATTACTATCAAAATCTTCTAATGACTGTCTGAAATGATCCATAGGCTAACCCCATATATAGCATTATTTTGTGCTAAAATGTCTAAGTATAGAAGAAGTTTTTGTGGGTTCTAACCAAAATGAAAAGCTACAAATCAGAGTAACTGTGTATTTCTTAATGTAAACTATGCCCAAGTAAAAAGAATTATTTTTAAAGAGTAACTTTTTATATAGGGGAAAAAAAAGCAAATGTAATAGGAGAGGAATGTGAACAGGAGCTAAGACAATAGGAAAAGTATTTTATTTTTTATTTTTATTTTTTGGCCAGTTCTGGAGCTAGAACTCAGGATCTGGGCACTGTCCTTGAGACTCTCTGTGTTCAAGGCTAGCACTCTACCATGAGCCACAGCACCACTTCTGGCTTTTTCTGTTTATGTGGTACTGCAGAATCAAACCCAGGGCTTCATGCATGCTAGGCAAGCACTCTGCCACCTAAGTCACATTCTGAGCCCCAGGAAAAGTATTTTAAAGTGGTAATTTTGCGATTCTATTGATCTTTCTAGACTCAGATATGATGAGTACCAAAAATACAATAATGACTATATTAAGCATGCTTTAATGTTAATTTCTTCGATGGTATATTTTTAAATTGCCTATATTCAGAATATGCCACCAGAAAGTTACTCAGTTAAAAACCATATCAGATTTTCTGTTGTTTTGGGTGGTGGTACTAATATTTGAACTCAGGGCCTCATACTTGCTAGACAGGTGTCTACTATCACTTGGGTCATATCCCTAGCCCAAAGCATGTTGGTTTGTCATCCCAAATTCAGAAAATTTTCTCCACTTTCATGAAAATGAAAAGTAAATTCACCTTTCTTAGGAACTGTTAAACCTTTCTCCAGTCTATCTCTCTCCTTTGATACAATTCACTTTACTCAGTGAGGAAACCTAGATCTCTACTGGCTCCTGTCCAATGCCTCTAGTCTGCTCTAATTTCCACCCTTGATTTTCCCCATGTCCATTCCTTATATACTAGTTATATTAGCTCTTCAGAAAAAAAAAGAAGTCTCCTCCCTAGCTTCCATTTATAAAATAATGTGTGTAGACTTCACTACTATTTAATTAAAAAATGGCTCTCCATGCACAAAGAAATAGTTCATTTTAATTTGAACAACAACTATTTTTTAAACAGGTACAAATAATGGAATAATAAAGAGCTGAATTTAGTGCTTCAGAAATCATTTCTTGAAAGAAAGATACATTACCTAGTAAATCTTGTTAAGGTGTTTTGCATGAACATAGACAAGGCCACTCCATCCTTTAGAAAAATAAGAATAGGATCATTACATTAAGCAATATTTAATACTTTTTAAATGCAGGTTTAATAAAGTAATGAAGCCAAAAATATATCAAACTTTTTAAAAAATAAAGTTTCCACTTGTTTTGATGTTGTCTGAAATTTCAATGACATTAAATTGTTGATCTCCTAGAGCTCCTTGGGCTCAGCTGTGTGAGGCCATATAATTAGAACAGTGTAGAATTCAACTCAGGACAATGTGGAGCCAAGATATTCTCACCCATATTTAAGAAGCTAAATAAACATATACAGGCATAATCTTTTCTAAGGAAAAAAAAAACTATTTTCTTAAAAGTAGTCAAAATTCATTGCCTCTTCTTTTTCCCCTCATACACTTCAGTCTTTTTTTTTTTGTCAGTCAAGGGGCTTGAACTCTTGTGCCTGGGCGCTGTCCCTGAGCTCTTCAGCTCAAAGCTAACGCTCTACCACTTGAGTCACAGCGTCACTTCCAATTTCTAGAGGTTTATTGGAGATAAGAGTCTCAAGGACTTTCCTGCCCAGGCTGGCTTTCAACTGCGATCCTCTGATCTCAGCCTCCCAAGTAGCTACCCATGAGCCACCAGCGCCCAACTACTTCAGTCTTACTCTAAGAGTTTCTTCAGAATTTCTGAGTTGTTTATGGCAAGTTGGGTGGTTAGTATTTGTAGAAGGTGGTGAGGTCTAGTTGGTTTTAGTATATCACATAAAAACAATAGTTGAAGCAGTCAGAATAAATGAGCTTTCTCCTTTTACCTTATTCTCTCCCCTAATGTTAATACATAGTACCTTCCTTTGATCTGTTTCTTCATTGATCCTCTTAGTTTCTAGCAACATTTTACAGTCCTGATTCTCTTCCTATTTCTTTGATAGTTCCCCCTTCTCTCCAACCTCCATTACCCCCTCACACACCCAGATTTCTTCCTTGGTTCTTACTTAGCTATTCCCCTGGAAGTATGTATTCTAAAACATCCAATTGGTGATTATTTTCCTTATTCACAGTTTCTTCCTGAGAAGGCACATCTATTCTGACTGCTTCAACTATTGTTTTTATGTGATATACTAAAACCAACTAGACCTCACCACCTTCTACAAACACTAACCACTTAACTTGCCAAAAACAACTGGGAGTAAAAGAGCTGAGTATGCTGCCTGGTGCTACTACTTATTAATAACATGAATAAAAAGAAATTCAGTTTTCTCACCTATAAAGAATGAAAACTAAAAATGACCTGATCTATTTCATTTAAAGGACAACTGGAAGATAAAAAGATACCTATACACTTTAAAAGATTATGTAAGTGTAATCTTCTTACAAGAACTTCCAGGGTCACTGTAGAAATTTAAGCAACAGAGAACAAAATACCAATTTATTTACAGAAGATAAAAAAGCAAGATCAGCAGACAAAGGAGGGTATTATTCAAGCTGCACTAAGACTATGAAGGTTTTTTAAAACACCAGACTTTTCCATAAGGCTTTATACCCATTCACTGCAAAGTTAGCAGGTTTTAGTTCCTTATATCCAGATGCTTAAAATTTGTTTTGATAACTTGTTCCATCTAAAAAGAGACCTTTTAAAGTCTAAAGAATACCTATCATATCAAATTGCAGTATAATATTCATATTTACATTATTTTCTTCTATTTTGTTCCTTTTTTCTGTAACTTTTCAGGAACAATTCTTACGTTATTCTGGTGTATCTCCTAGCCTCTAATTGTCAATAAAGAATAATTCTGGAAGTTCTTTTCCTGCTCATAAAACAAGATCTACCAGAATGAAACCAAGTTTAAAAGGATCAATTACAGTTAAGGGAGGGGGCAAAAAAAAGCTAAGGAAATATAAACTGAAAGAAACAGAATATTGATAGCTGGTGATGCTGTTAAACTTGAGATTACAGTGGCAAAAACATTGACACCAAAATTGTTTTTTTCAAGTCATTAATAATTATTTTCAAAAATTATATTGTAGAGGACAATATAATCCAATTATATCATATATTCTAGTTAGCTCATCATTCTCAGAAAAAGCAAATTCATCCAATAAGTACTTGCCAGTGACACATCTGAACAACAAAGAGACAGTATGCTAAACAAAGAGCCTCATTGACGGGAAACTGTTACAAGGGGAAGTCATGTTGAGTCTCGGAACAGCTTAGCTGTAAGGGGCAGTACATTTCTATATATGAGCTGCAACTCATATAAAGCAATTTCCTAAGTCCTAAGGCCATTTTAACTAGAAATTTCAGGCTTGCATATATTTATAGGTTTCTCCTCAAAAACAAAGAATATAGTTTATATGAAAAATTACTGTCAGGAACTTTAGATACACAATTCCTACTTTTATTCATTTTAAAATTAACATATGATAAACATAGGCTATGCCTTATATAAATCCATATCATCCACAAACAGAAGTTTATTCAACTTGTTTATTTTTTAAATTTATATCATGATTAGGGTGAGTTCAAAAATATAATAAAGGATTAATCTATCCTGAAAAATGCTTTACAAAATATTTAAACTTTTGTACTCAAGGGTAGAGGTTGGGAAGATCAGGGTTTTGGGCCAGCTCGAAAAAAAGTGGTTAGATCCACATTTATTTCATCTAAGGTAACAGTTGTAGTGGGTTATAATTATAATTTCAAAGTCAAGGGAAGTGTAGATAGAATCATGGTCTGACACTAACTCAGAGCAAAATGTAAATAAAATATATCTCAGCCACAGAAGTAAAAAATCCAGTGCATAATCCACACAACACTTGCCTCAGAAGTTCCTAGGGCTTTCACAGCATTCAAGTCAGATCCTGACGAGAAAGTATTTTTTGCCCCACGAACAATGAGGCCTTTGCCTTCTGTCCAATTTTCCAATTCAATCACTTTTTCCAGAAGTTGTAACATCATAACACCTACAAGAGGCGGAAAAGGGGGAAAAATTCACAAATACAGGACACTGAAAATAATTTTTTAAAAAGTTAGAAATAGGAGGTAACAATGCTGGATAAGAAATGTACTCATTACCTTGCTCATGTAACTGTAACCATTCTGTACAGTATTTTTACAATAAAAAATATTTTAAAAAGTTAGAAATAATGTGTCATCCTGTATCTTACAAATAATATCTATGAAATACCTATTGTACTGATACAATAGAGTATACAAACTAGGTGTCTAGGACAGTCCTTGCTTTAAGAGATTAAATTCATTATGTGTCTAAATTAAAGATTAAACACACAATGTAACCCCTTAATACAATCAATATATGCTAATAAAAATGTTTTTAAATTTAAAAAATCTTACTACAAATAAATGTAGGAACATATAAATAGAAAATCAAAATATATTATATACATCTGTTCTCTCATACGCAAATTCTAGATTGAATGAAAAGAAACAAAGTTAGAATTATGAGAGAAAACATGCAAACTGAATTTGGAGCTACTTATTTTGCTTAACATAACAATACACATATAATATCTCTTCCTTTTTTATCTGTTTTGCTGGTCTTGGGGCTTGACTAAGGTTTAAGATTTCCTTCCATTCATTCTTTTTTTTTTTTTTTGCCAGGCCTGGGGCTTGAACTCTGGGCTGGGGACTGTTCCTGGGCTCTTTATGCTGAAGGCTAGCACTCTACCACTTGAGCCACAGCGCTACTTCTGGATTTTTTCTGTGATTAATTGGATATAAGAGTCTCACAGACTTCCTTGCCCAGGCTGGCTTCAAACCTAGATCCTCAGATCTCGGCCTCCTGCATAGCTAGGATTACAGGAAGGAGCCAGTGGCATCCTGCTTCCTGCCATTCTTTATCTAGAAAAAGAAAGATTTCTAGTACCTGAGAAGGCATTCATTTTACTGGGGTTGTTCAGAGTCAGTATACCAATGCCATTGTCTCCTTTCTGAAGGTCAACAGATCCACCAGGAAACTGCTGAAGTTTCTTTTTCACCTCTTCCTCATGGAAACCATGAGAAGTATTATAAAGTGACACTCCTGTTAGCTGCAATAGTTTTGTCCTTGAAGACAGAGATGATGTCATCAAAAGACTTTTTGCCATTTCTGGAAAAGAGGTAAATACATGGTTATCCAGATTAGTAACCACTAATTTGCTATTATGGACGAATAGTCTATTGTAATGGAGCTTTCTGCTAATTGGGAGGCTATCCTTACTTTCAGAAGTACTGAAAGTACTGGGCTCAATAGCACATGCCTACAGTCCCATCTACAGAAGATACTAAGGGAAAAGAATCACTTGAGCCCAGAAGTTTAAATGCAGTCTGAGCAATGCAGCAAAACCCATCTCTTACACAAGGAAAGGAAAAAAATCTTTCAGGAGATAATGTTTGGAATTCCATTTTTATTTCTTTCATAGACCAAACAATTCACAAAACATATTATTTCAGGATAGCATCAAGAGAAGATGGTACCTTGAAATGCATTTATTGAGATTCAACTCATTAGAATGATTAAGGGAAAATATTTTCTGTGCTTCGTGCCATCTTATGCCTTTCTCTTCAGTCTATTTTTTCATCCTTCAACCTTTAAAAGAGTAATTTTAAAAAAAGAGTAATTCAGCCTGTACAGAATGCTACAAGAATCATTTTATTCTAAGCATTATACTTATCTTCCTCAATGCTTTCAAATAAAAAAAAAAACTGGAAAGGTGCTGGTGGCTCATGCTTGTGATCCTAGCTACTTAAGAGACTGAAATCAAAGCCAGCCTGGCCAAGAAAGTCTATGAGACTTATCTCCCTTCAACAAACCACCAAAAAAGTGGAAGTGGAGCTGTGGCTCAAAGTGGTAGATTGCTACCCTTGAGCAGAAGAGCTCAGAGACAGCTCCCAGTCCCTGAGCTCAAGCTCCCCAACCGATCAAAACAAAACAAAAAACCTGGAAAGGGTCTTTTGGAAAAAGGGACATGAGCTAGAAGTGCTTGTGGGTCATTTTGTTGTTGATTCTGCCATTCTTATTTTATATACACATCAGGGCTGCCCTAACATTTCCTTTGCTTATATAAACATTTCTGTTAATATAAAACACACATTCAAAAAAGCATATAAAACTGTTGGGAGCCAGAGACACGTCATGTCCCACCTGTCCACTGGAAGAAACATATATTGCAGCAACATCCTGAACTTGTCACACTTGCCCATGGCCTGAAGTGCAATAGCTGACAGTCCATGAGGCATAAGCCCTCAAAGCAGCATTCACACCAATACTCCTCAAACTCTTCAATGACATTGAAGGTGAAAGTTCTCTACAAAACTCATTCTATGAAACCAGCATAACCCTCATCCCAAAACCAGACAGGGACCTATCATAGAAAGAGAACTATAGACTCATTTCTTTGATGAACATCGATGCAAAACTTCTCAACAAAATTCTGGCTATCAACTTCAACAAATCATCAAAAAAAATTATATACTATGATCAAACAAGATTCATTCCAGGGATACAAAGCTGGTTCAATAAATGCAAGTCAATTAATGTAATTCATCACATCAATAGGAGCAAGAACAAGAACCACCTGCTCATATCAATAGATACAGAAAAAGCATTTGACAAGATCTAAGATTCACTTATGATGAAAGCTCTAGAACATTCCTCTCAATATAATAAAGGCTGTATATGACAAACCTACAGCTAGCATTACACTTAATGGAGAAAAGTTAAGGCCATTACATCTAAAATAAGGAACAAGACAAGGATTTCTGCTCTCTCCACTCCTCTTCAATAAAGTATTAGAATTCCTAGCTAGAGCAATAAGGCAAAAGGCAAACATAAAGGGGATACAAATAGGGAAAGATGAAGTAAAACTCTCTTCTCTTTGCAGATGACCTGATCCTGTATTTAAAGAACACCATAGACTCTGCTCCCAAGTTACTTGAGCTGATCTGAAACTTTGGCAAAGTGGCAGGGCATAAAATTAATCTTCAAAAAACAATGGCTTTTCTGTATGCCAACAATGAGAAGAGTGAGGCTGAAATCAGGAAATCAACTCCTTTTGTAATAGCCTCAAAAAAAAAAAAAGCAAACAAACTAGGAATTAACCAAAGAAGTGAAAGACCTCTATGATGAAAACTATAAACACCTCCCATACTCATGGATTGGGAGGATTAAAATCATGAAAATGGCAACACTGACAAAGGCAATCTACAAATTCAATGCAATACCCATCATTATCCCAACATCATTCTTTAATGAAATAGAGGAAGCAATCCAAAAGTTCATATGGAATAATAAAAGGCCTTGAATAGCAAAAATAATCCATAGCAGAAAGAACAGTGCTGGAGGAATATCAATACCAAACTTCAAACTCTATTACAAAACTATAGTAATAAAAACAGCTTGTTACTGGCATGAGAACAGGCCTGAGGACCAATGGAATAAAATTGAAGACCCAGAAATGAACCCACAAACCTATGGCCACCTAATCTTCAATAAGGGAGCCAAAAAAATAGAATGGACCTTTTCAACAAATGGTGCTGGCAGAATTAAACACCTGTAGAAAACTATAGTTAGATCCTTAAAAATCAACCTGCACCAGAATCAATTCCAAATGGATCAAAGACCCAGAGGTAAATGCAGATACCCTGAAAACATTACAGGAATAAGAGAAACGCTAGGGCTTCTTAGCACAGCTCAAGACTTTCTTAATTAAGACCCAGAAACACAATAAATCAAAGAAAAGTTAGACAAATGGGATTGCATGAAACTGCAGAGCTTCTGCATGACTAGCCAGATAAATAGAAAGCCTACAGATTGGAAGAAGACCTTCTTTGGCAATACAACAGACAAGGACCTCATATCTAAAATATACTTAGAACTCCAAAAATTAAATCCCCCAATAAACAAATCCCCAAAGAAACAACCACCTCATTAATAAGTGGGCTAAAGACTTAAGAGACTACCCTGAAGAGGAAATAAGAATGGCCAATAGACACATGAAGAAATGCTCAACATCTCTGGCCATAAAAGAATGCAAATCAAGACAACATGGAGATTTGATCTTATTCCCATTACAATGGCCATTATCAAGATATCTAACAACAACAGATGCTGGCAGGGATGTGGCTAAAAGGGAACTATACTGTTGGTGGGAGCATAAACTTTTTCAACAACCCTGGAAAGCAGTACGGAAGTTCCTCAAAAGACTAAACATAGAGCTCCCCTATAATCCAGCAATCCTACTTCTGGGCATTTACACAAATTACCACAAACAAGGCCATACTAAAGCTACCAGTACAACCATGATTGCTGAATTATTTACCATAGCTAAGATATGGAACCAACCCAGATGCCTCTCAGTAGATGAATAGATTAATTATATATATATATATATATATATATATATGTATATATATATATATATATATTATGCTTCCATCAGAAAGAATGACATCACCCCATTTGTAAGGAAATGGAAAGACTTGGAAAAAATCATATTAAGTAAAGCAAGCTAGACCCAAAGAAACACAGACTTCCCTCATTTGTAATAATTAGAATATATCTAGGATGTCCTAGAAGAGGATCACAATAGCTCAATAGCTATGTACGTATGACCATATAAAATGATGCTAAGCGAAATGAACTCCAAGATATGGGAAAATATGGAAACAAGAGGTTTTTCTTTGATGTTGTTGTTTTTAACGTACTATGTAAAGTTATTTCTTTTTTTCTTGCGTTTTTTTCTTTTTTTCCCCTTGTTGTCCCTCTATTTGATTTTGGTACCCTGTGTCTTATATCTGAATTAGGGAAGGGAAGGGGAACAATAAAATGGTGAGACAAAGGACAAAGTGCAAAGCAATGCAACAGCAATACTCAGAAGACAACATGTTGGAAATGAACTTTACAACTGGGGGGGAGGTATTGAGGGAGGGAAGGTGGGAGAACGAGGTGGGAGTTAACAATATTGGACAAGAAATGTATTCACTATCTTACGTATGTAACTGTAACCCCTCTGTATATCACCTTGAAAATAAAATACAATTTTAAAAAATGGACATTTCTCTCACCTTAACATTTAAGCTAGACATTTAGCTCAGCTATTTCTAACCACAGGATTTCTGTTCCTGCATTAACAAAGCTGCTGGGCACCTGCTTAATGCAACTTAATAGTATCTGTATCGGTCCCTTCCCCTCTTTATAAGGAAAAACTCTGTACGTATAAATAAACATGCTGAACTAGAACCTGGGTGTAATATCTGAGTTGCCCTGCAACCCTGTTTGTTTCTGGGGGTTTGCAGATGGGCAAATTTATGGGGGGTGGGGGGTAAACGCCTTTTGCTCACCAAAATGTAAGCCCCGCCTTTTGCCCTCCAAATTCAAGAGCTAATTCAAACCAAAATGATAGGTTAGTTTAAACCGCTACTGTAAGGCAAACTGTAACTTCATTGGCCACCTGCGTGTGGCCTGACATGACTATGAAACCTCTTGTGTGTGTTGCAAACTCATTGGTCACCTGCGTGTGTCCAGACTTGACTGCATGGATTTTGCCTTTAAAAACCCTGGCTTGTGGACCATTCGGGTTCACAGTTTCAGCTCCCAAGTCTGTGCTGTGTCTCTGGTCAGCTATCTACTTCCCCAATAAATTCATCTTTTCGCATGAGGCTGTATCTGAGTGTCTTCCACATAACACTGGGTAGCTAAAGTCCCTCAGATTTCTGGGTGCTGATAGCCTACGTGGTCCAGCTTTTTCTAAGGTAGGTGTGTGTGTGTGTGTGTGTGTGTGTTCCTCAATTTCCTCTCAATCTCCTACTGTCTTCCCTCAGAGACAGCTTGTGTGTGTGTGTGTGTGTTCCTCAATTTCCTCTCAAACTCCTACTGTCTTCCCTCAGAGACAGCTTGAAATGGATAGTCCATGGCATAAAACATAGAGCTCAATGATTTTTCATGAAATAGTAAGAAAGATAATATAATCCACACCTCAAGAGGCCCCTGTGTTACCTTTCCGACTTAGCCCCTCAAGTAAGGATGATTATCAGACAACCTCAATTACTTTACTGGCTATTATATGTTACAAAAGTTGGATTATATTTTTTTTGTGTTTAGTTTCAACATAGTTTTTTACATTCATGATTGCTATTATAATTAAGTCTATAAAGAGTCAATTCTTCTCATTCCAAGCCTTAAAGAATATGCTGAAATTTATGTATTCTAATGTTAATAGATATATGGGTTGTTAGTAATTTTTTTGTATTAAGTATTTTTTTGTATTTATGTTTCTTTTTCCAATACTTATTTGTGATGGTATATATTTAGGAATGGAAAGCTTGGGTTGGTGTGCTGCACCTCCACTTCTATTGGATGTTAAATATGTAACACTTTTCCTAATTAGTTTTTTAAGCTATTAGTACCTCAAAATTGACCATAGTGGTGTTACCAATCGGTCTTCTTGTGAAGTTACACTTCCACACATATACACACAGAGAGAGCTGGATGGCCAGAATACTAAAAATTGTAACATATATAATTAATTGTTCATTTGCTCATAAAACATGCTGCTAGTTAACTTTCTAAAATGGCCATACCAATGATTTGGTACAAAGTATATTGTTACAAAGGAATAAACGTTCTAGTTATTCCACAACCATGTGTATCACTTGTATTCTAATGGGCTGTAGCTCATTTTAGTTTCATTTTGTATTTCTATGGTTGTAAAATGAAGAAAAAAATTTTTTTGAGACAGGGTCTCATTATTTTGTGCAGGTGATGCAGAACTAAGTGCAAGGTAGCCTTGTGAAACTCCCCATCTAAATTCATGAAGTTCGGGCCTCACCCTCTTAAGTAATGAAATACAGGTAAGCAGTGCCCTTTCTTGGTTCTTAACTCCATTTTTATGTTTACTATTCCTTTGCATAATAAACTTCTGTAAAGTGCTTATTTAATCTTTTGCCTATTTTTTTGTCTTTTACTGAACTACTGAACTGAGATCTTTCATCTTCTGCCAGAAGCTTTCCTAAAGCCTGTAAGACAATATATTTCACACACTGATCTCCAAATCAGATAATAGCGGCAGTATAGACAACACTAATATCCTAATAATCGAAATGTAAGATTTCCCAATACCTATTTAATACAAAAAGTTCCAAAGTTCCTCTGCTACACCCATCCACAATAAACAAAGTTCAAATCCTTCGGGCTTTTTGTTGTTATGAAAATTTTAGTAGATATGATTGACATCTTTTTCCTAAATTTTTCTAATACTCTACACACACAACAGGTACACTCAGAACATCTAAATCCCTTATCAAAATCCTATCTGACACAACTACGTCAATTGGACTGTCATAAATGTAGTTGCTGAAACGGCAGCTACAGTTGCCTAGACCAGTGCCTGAAAAGTTAATTTTCTTTTTCTTTTTTTTGGGGGGGGGGGTCCGGTTGTGGGGCCTGAACTCTGGGTCTGGGCGCTGTCCCTCAGCTCTTCAGCTCAAGGCTAGTGCTCTACCACTTGAACCACGGCGCCACTTCCGGCTTTTTTCTTATGTGGTGCTGAGGAATCAAACCCAGGGCCTCATGCACTGCAAGGCAAGTGCTCTACCACTGAGCCACCTTCCCAGCCCTGAAAAGTTAATTTTCTTATAACCCCAAACTCCACCCAGAGGTGGAAGAATCTAGCCACAACCAACTTTCCATCCGCCCTAGTTATCATTCTCATAACTCACCGTTTCAACTCCAGTATCTGTTCACAAGCCGGTTCCCCTTGGTGAAATGCTCACCACTGCCTGTGACCCAGCTAATTACCATCCACTCATCTTTCAGGTGAGAACCCAATGGGGTGTCAGCTAAAGATCACCTGACTTGTTACCCTGCCCCACCCAGTGGATTTTGTAATCCTACTTCACCCCAGCTTATTTCTAGCAACACAGTGCTAGGTCCTCAAAAGATGTAGTCCTCCGCGACTCCTGTCCAGGGCCTGCATATCTGTATACCTGCAGCATGCAGAATATCCACTTTCCAGTTAGTGTTTTACTAGTGGAGCCGCAGCCCAAGTTAGTACCGGGGGTTCCTAAGTATTCAGAAACTGTTCTGGTGCGTAAACTCACAGCCTTCCTGTACTAAAGGACACGTTCGAGTCTGCGATGTTTCGCTCATCTTTCCCCACTGCCCGCCAAGCCCAGCAGAGCCGGGCTATGGCGGCGCTCGGCAGTGCGAGCAACGCCCAGCAGAGGGCAGTGCGCAGGCGCCGAGGCTCGCGGGGGAAGCGGCCGCCCGGACGCCGGGTTCAGGTTCGTGGGGATTCACCTGGAAGGAAGCCAGCACCCATCCTCCCCAAAACACTCAAGACTCGTCCGGAGAGGACGGAGCAGCCAAACCACAGAATACAAAGTCCCGGAGGCTCCGTGGCGACCGCCCCTTCGACCGCCCCTGCGCTCTCCCTCGACCCTCTTCCGGTCTGCGACCCTCTTCCGGTCTCGCGACCCTCTTCCGGCCCCCTTCCCCCGCCCCCGGCTTCCGCCTTCGTGTCTTTGCCCCTCTTCCCAGCGAACTCCCCGCCCACCTACCCCCCCACCCCCACACACGGGAGCCCACACCTCCAGCTTTCCCTGTCTCCTTACTTCTCCCCAGAGATGCCCTTCCGCTCCCTTGCGTGGATTTGCTACTTTTAATTCTTCCCCAGCCAGCCCTTCGCTCATCTCTCCTCAGGCCACTTCCCCTGCAGGGCCAATCTCTAGGAAGAGCTCGCACGACGCAGGAAGTCCCGCCCTCCCGTCCGGGCCCCGCACTCTCAAGGTTAGGCTCACCAGGAGGACCCGGGCTCTGGCGGCACTTGATTCCTATGCTTCGTGACCCAGCTGTTCTGCATTGACCTGGCCAGAAGTAGTGGGAAAGAAGAGAGTTTTCCTTCAGGAGGTTGTTTCTGCTGGGGTTTTGGTCACAGAGATTACAGTGCAGTATGTAATCGGTGCCTTAAGCTGTTAGACTCTGTGGAACTGTAAAGTTACTTGAGTGAATAGTGATCTTGGAAAACGAATCCATGTCACAGTGAAGGTAGTAAGCAGATGTGTAGTAACTTTTACTGTAAGCATCTGTCCCAGGTTGGCAGCTGTGGTTAGTTTGATCTGTTACTTGTTGGATGACTCCCTGATCCTATTAAGTAGAAAGCAAATGGTATCATTTGAGGGTATACCCTCTCAACGTTTTTTTTGCAGTAGCAGATGAATTAGGCAGTTAGTTGGAAAACCTGATGACTGAGAACAATGGCTTAGAGATTAATAGCCACTTGCTCTTCTACTGATATTACATGAATAATTTGTTTTATACCGAGGGATCTGGTGACCGAGGAGCTCTACTGCCCACAAAATGACTAGCCGGGACCTGTCAATCCAAGGTCAAAGGCACCCCAACTCGACATATGGAAAGAATTAGTGACACACAACTCAGTTTATAGGATCCAATGACACATAATGCATTTTTTAAGAATGACTGCAAACCTCAGTAAAAGCTTGAGGTTTTGGAAGCATCAGTTCAACTGCTGCTTCTTGAGCCTGTCTACTCCACCATTAATAAGACTGCTTCCTGATCTTCATTTCTCTCCTTGCATTATTTTTTCTCTTCAGGAACCATTTCACCCTTACTAGTGACCCAGGCTGAAGTCATATGAGTATTTCATCATTCAAGGAATTTGCCAAGAAGTTGAGGAGATGAAATGTGCCTTCAAAAACTGAAAGGAAAAACAACAATAACAACAAAACTATCAAGTTCAAAGAACATTAGAAGTTTGGAGGAGGGAAAATGACAACCAGTGAATGGACAAAGACAACATAAAAAAATACTGACAGGCTGCTGAAGGTCAGAGGCAGCCAAGAAAAGCCACTTCCTTATACACCACCTGTCTCAAATATATACCACCTGTCCCAACGCCTGAACCTGCTCAAACTTGCAAAACAATTTACGTGCTAATAGTTCCTGCCGACCCCAGCCATATAAACCCTGTTACAACCAGACTCGGTGCCACCTCTGTCATCCCGACCAGAGAGTTCGCCTGGCAACATACCCCAATAAACTTTTATTTTATTCACCTTTACCTCTTCCTGCATGTTCTTTCCTTGCCTAAAACCTTATATCTGGTGCTGAACCAGGGAAAGTGGTAGTGCTTTGCTTCCCTCTAGGGTGACCAACAGGCATTGTTCTTTCTCAGCCTCTCTCCTCCCTTCCTCCTTTCCAGAGGCCTCCCCCATTGGGAGCACAGAGCTTACTTTTGGCTAAACAGCCACCTGAAAAGACCTGATGGCCTTTGCCTCTGTAAGTGGTGCATATCCCGTGGACAGCCACCTAGTGGCTTGGGATATTATTGGCTATCTGTGTAAACCCAGCAGAGGCCTCTACCCTTACTTACCTCTCTCTGTCTCAGTCTCTCTCTGTCTCTGTCTCTTTGTCTCTGTCTCTGTGTCTCTCTGTCTCTGTCTCTGTCTCTGTCTCTCTCTCTCTCTCTCTCTCTCTCTCTCTCCCTCTCCCACTGTCTCTTTTCGTTGGACCAGGACCTCAGTCTTCTGTACATCCACCACATTCGGATTTGGTGAGTCCCCACCTCCCCTCCCATGGCGTCCTGGCTTGCTCTCAGGGAACTCAGCTCCTTCCATTCCATTCCCATAAAATCACGGGCTCCTGTCCTAGTCTCCCTTCAGCCTTTGGTCTAGGTGCTGAGAACAATCGAGGGACGCCTGGTCTTCTCTGTCACCTCCATTTTTTTTTAGTAACTCTTTGGCTAAGACAGGGATGCCTTCTTCAGCCTTAGTTTCAACCCAGGCACTCCTGGGCACGATGTGAAACCAAAATTCCAAACTGGACCAACATACTCTTCTGGGTTGCTTATTGGCTAATCTCGAACCTCTAAGCCTAAGACTTGACCTTATTCTTCCTTGGTAACTGAGAATGGCCTATATACCAGCTTGATAACCATTCATGCCAGCCTGAAAAATGGGACTTTCAATTTCAATATACTAACCTATCTCTGCAATTTCTATGAGTGGATGGTAAAGTGGGCTGAAATTCCTATCTTCCAGGGATTCTTCTACTTATGTTCCCCTCCCTCCCTCTCTCTCCTGGCCCTATCTCAAATCTTGCTTATGTGGCAAGATCCTTCCAAAAGCCCTCCCCCTCTCTCTTCCTCTTCTGACCTTCTCAACTCTCAGTTATCCTTCCCACCTGTGGCATGTCTACTGCCCTAGGCTCCATCTGATCCTACTGGGCCGAGGGTCTCATATCTCACCTGGCATGATCTCCATGTTCTACTCTCCTCCACTCTTACCATGGAGGGGCATGAGCCCAGGCTCATGAGGACAAGATCCACCTTACAGATACTACCATGCCCGTGGGAACTGAGGCAGTCCACAGACAGGACCCTCATTGACAATATCAGAGGGTGGCAATGGCTGCTTGTGTAAAGATGATTCAGTGCCTTTTGGCTCTATAACAGGTACCTCCCATAAGGTGATTAACTTTGACAGACTGGGAAATTACTCAACTTCAGGATGAAAGCCCCGCTGCCTTTCTAGCTAGACTTACTGAGGCCCTCCCTAATTACACCCGCTTGAACTCCACCTCTCCAGCTGGGGCAAGCTTTTTGGCCTCTCATTTTACTTCTCAGTCAGCCCCAAACATAAACATAAGAGAAAACTTTAAAAAGACTGAGGATGGCCCTCAAACCCCTATCTGAGACCTGGTGAACATGGCCTTTAAAGTTTCCATGCCCCTGAGGAACAGGAAAAGGCTGATGAGGAAGCCTGTTCTGGACAAAAGGTGGCCTACCAAGCCCAAGCTCTGGTCTCTGCCCTAAGGCCTTCTACAACACGCTGCTCTGGAGAAAAGTGACAACCACCTGGACGCTGCTGCAAGTGTGGCCAGGAGGGGCACTGGGCAAGGCGATGCCCTAAACCCCATCCCCCCCAGATAACCATGTCCACTGTGTATTCAGAAGGGACACTGGAAGACTGACTGCCCCTCTGCGCCTAGTTGTGGGGGTACAGCCCCCTAACTAGCTGGCTTCAGTCCTGGGCCTGGCTGCTGAAGACTGAGGTTGCCCTGCTTTGCTGACCCCAATCACCCTTGTTGAGCCTAGGTAGCAATCCAGGTAGCAGGTAAAGCCATTTCCTTTTTGGACAAAAGGGAGGCTGCCTATTTGGTCCTCCCTTGCTACGCAGGCCACGTAATTCCTTCCCAGGTCTCTGTTATGGGAGTTGATGGACATCCCTCCCAGCCCCCAGTGATGGACCCTCTTATGTGCCTGATATATGCAATGGAGGTAGTAAGAGGAGTGAGACCCAGCCCTGCTCTTAGCCTTAAAATCTAGCAAAACTTTCCATCTAACCATTGCCTTGAGGCAGTTCTGAGATAACCCAGTTCCACAAGCCAAAGGAAAAAAATGTGCATTTTTAAACTCTAGCCACAAAGAAGCTCAAAGGATTGCAAAGGGTAAACAGGTAGTAAAGAAAGTCTTGGGCTGGGCACCAGTGGCTCACACCTGTAATCCTAGCTACACAGGAGGCTGAGATCTGAGGATCACAGTTCAAAGCAAGCCCCAGCAGGAAAGTCAGTGAGACTCTTATCTCCAATAAAAACCACTAGAAAACCGGAAGTGGCACTATGGCTCAAGTGGTAGAGCTCTTGCCTTGAGCTGAAGAGCTGAGGGATAGTGCTCAAGCAGTAGAGCTCAGCTGAAGAGTTGAGGGATAGCGCTCAAGCCCAGAGTTCAAGCCCCACAGCCAACAACAACAACAACAGAAGTGTTGGGAAAGGAATTAGGGGGAAAATGGTCTCCTCTGGAGAGTCAGGATTGGTGCACTGAAGGGCAAGGTGAGTTGGCTTCTACCCCATGACCTCTAGCCTCAGTCCAGCGCCAACTTACCTTCCTGGCACAGATTGCTCTTCAAAATTGCTGAGCCTTGGACCTTCTAACAGCTAAAAAAGGTGGGACCTGCCTATTCTTGTGGGGACAATGTTGTTATATTAATGAATCACGTTTAGTAGAACAAAACATTGAGATCCTAAATAACCTAAAAGAGGAGCTCAAACATCAGCAGTGCAGGGGCTTATTCTGGATTAGTTCCATAGCCCCCTTGCTGGATGGTTACTACCCTTGGTAGACCCATTAATTTTAATTTGTCTTTTCTTTTTATTGTCCCATGCCTCTTGAGATCTATCCAGAGCTGCATCCAAGAAATGACCAGAGGGACGGTTAATCAGCTTCTTCTTCTTCTCCACCTGTACACTCACCTGCCAACTACCCCTCCAGTATCCTAGACAACTGGGTTACAGCCCCATGATGTCCCTGTCCAGCAGGAAGTAGCCAGATAACGATTGATGCCCTATTACCAAAGATGCGGGAATGACAGGCCACTGGAGGGCAGAGGCAGCCAAGAAAAGCCACTTCCTTGTATACAACCTGTTCCAATTATACACCACCTGTCCCAATCGTTCTTTGGGGCCACTAGCCTAAAACTGCTCAAACTTGAAAAACAAGTTACATGCTAAAAGTTCCTGCTGACTCTGGCCATATAAACCCTTCTACAACTAGACTCTGAGCAACCTCTCTGATCTGGACCAGAGAGGCCACCAGGGAGCATTCTCCAATAAACTTTTTCTTGCTCTACCTTCACCTCCTCCTTCCTGCATGTTCTTTCCCTGCCTAAAACCTTGCAAGTACATTTTCTGTAGTGACTATGGTTGTTTCTTTTTTCTATGGAGATCTACAATGAAATGTGTCCTGTGGTCCAGTGAGAAATTACTAGTGGACTGTAATAATGAAGTATGTTAGTAATTTTGTTTATAGGTCATGTTGTGTAATCCTTTCTCCTATCTATATATGTTTTAGAAATTACTCCTGATAAATTGTACTAGACCTAGACACTTGTTTATGTGAAACAGGAAGCTGTGAGAGAGATGAAGCCTGAATTAAAATAACTGGTTCTCACTGCCTTACTCTGTAGAAAGCCACAAAGTTTTCTATGTCTAAACCTAGTTTTCCTCGGGTTTTCTTCCCCCTCCCCTACCCTCAGGGGTATGGTATTCTAATTGCTTATGCATGTGTACCTGAACCCATACTTTATAATGAAGACCCTTTCAGTGAAATAATTATTGTGGTCAACCAAAAATTAAGGCGAATGAACATCAGTATGTTATTATATCCTGGTTTCTGACAAAAATGGCCACTTTCAAAGTTATTTCCATTCTCATAAAATACAGGCCTAATTATAATTATTCTAACTTACCTTCATTTACCTCACTATTAAAGTATTTTCTTTCCCTTCTCACTTGTATAATGTTCAGACTTTTATATATTTATTTTCATTTGCAGCCCTAGTTATCCAACCCATCCTAGTCAATGTGTCCTAGATATACTCCCAGCCCTGTAGTCAGATTTTTTTGGTATCCATTCTTCTTGAGAAATTGATGTTAAGTAGTGTTGCGATACATAAAATTTTCTATGTTATACACAACTGCATTTTAAACTTTATAATACTCTCAAAGGACTTTGTGATGAATTTTGACCAAACTTAACATCATTCCATACCTTTGTATTTCTAGTTAATGGAGAAAAGTGGGTATTTTGATGAAATATTAAATGCATCAAAAATTAAGAAAATGTGATTTTCTACTGTCTTATAGCTCTCTCATGCTGACTTCCACAGTCTCTTTCTCTCCCCCCCTCCCTCCTCCTTCCCTCTCTCTCTTTCCTTTTGTGGCAGTACTGAGTCTTGAATTCAGTCTTGTACTCTCACTGGGCCTTGGTGCTCACAATTGATTCTCTTGGTTAATTGGACATATGCTAATCTGTAACAGTAGATTGTCATTCAAATGCCACAGTGAACACTTCTTGCCTCACTTTAGTACCTTAATTTTAATAAATATTGTTTTACTCTATGCTCACATGTCAGTTTTCATGCACAGTAAATTATCATTTTCACTTTTTCCTTCAACCAATTATGCTTGTTTGTTGAGTAGGCCTCATGCTTTCATTTTAGAACTCTTGAAAATCATTACTTTTTAGAAAATAGCTTCAATTAAGGTGGAAAAGGAAGGACACAA